GGGACTGGACCTGCCTGGACTGATCTATCAGGTGGATCCCAGTCCTCTGGGGAGCCATTGATCTGGAGGAGGTGGGAATGGGTGGTGGGATGGGGGGAAGGGGAGGGGGGCAGGAAGGGAGAGAACAAGGGAATCTGTGGCTGTTATGTAGAACTGAATAGTATTGTAAAAAAAAAGAAAAAGAAAAAAGAAAAGGTAAACATGATAAATACCATGTGACGGGACAATTGATTTTCATTTTTTTCTTGCAAAGAATAATATTAAAACAAAGACTGTCATAAAGTAAAAAAAAAAAAAAATCGAAAGGAAAAATGGAGCAGAGCTGTGCTCACTGGGGAGCATGCCCAAACTACAGACGTGGTAGCAGAGGGTATGGAAGCTATGTGGGAACACAGGCACAGTGGACAAAGAGCACAGCATTACTGAATAGGGCTGGTCCTCGGCCTGCAGGCCTGCCTACAGCATGGAGCCACTGGAGCTGCTGCTGCTGATCACCCTGCTGGAAGAAGGGAAGTGTGTGGCTGAGGAGCTGTCAGCAGGCTGCAAGTACAACGGTCATGCCTGTGAGCCTCAGGATGCCTGTGTTGAGGCTGGGGAGATGTTTTGTGAACTGGAGCTCGAGTGGATCCTATCCTCGGATGCTCTGCCTAACAGTAAGATCACTCTGACTATGGGGAAAAAGTAGGATATATGAGAGGAGTCTCAACGATGGCCCAGTATTTATGGTGCTTTATGTACATGTCTGCGGCCTGGGCTGTTGCTGAAGGCCTTATCGATATGATATCCAAGGCCCATGCTGCTGGAGACAAAGTGGACACCCATGGTCTGTGCTATGACTGTGGTCCATGTTAGTGTCCATGGTCCAGGTTGCCACCCAAGTTCATGTTGATGTATGTGGCCTTGTATTGCTGCAGAGGGCCATATTGACGTCCATTGTCCTGCTAAAGAAGGGGTTGTATTGATGTCTGTGGCAAATATCACCTCATAAGGCCATGAGGATTTCTGTTATCTGTGCTGCCACCTAAAGATATGTTCATGTCTGTGGGCCATGTTGCCATTGAGGGCCATGAGGGTGTCCATGGTCCGTGTGGAAGGCCATATGTGGTCTGTATTGCTGTCAGAGACCATGTTAAGGTCCACAGTCCAAGCTGACAATGTAGGTAGGCCATGTGGATACCAGTGATTCGTGCTACTACCTGAAGTCATATTGATGTCCATGGGCTGAGATGCTGCTGAAGACCATATGGTGTCTATGGCTTGTGTTGCCTCTGAAGCTAAGTTGATCTATGTAGTCTGTGCTGCCACCAAGGGCCATGATGGTGTCTGAGGCCCATATTGCAGCACAGGGTTGTGTTGATGTCTGTTGTCTATACTGGCACAAGAAACCAAACGGAAGACCACGATCCATGCTCCCACTGACTGTAAAGGGTAAGGAAGCTTCTTTTGCTGTGGTATCAATGACTAAAGACTTATAGTTGAGAATAAGAGACTTAGAAGGCTTCTGTGACAACACTCCCCTCCTACTCCACCCCCCAACCCCCAAAAAGGAGTAACAGCCTCAGCAGGAAGCCGTTGGAGAAAACCTGTGATAAGGCTGCTGAAGTGTAGCTCTCCACAACTGATGGCTTCTGGTCGGGGAGCGTGTGGGGATTGGATTTCTTTAAGGGGCTCGCCACTGGGAGTATGACCATGCCTCAGTGAGTATAAGGGCAACAAAAACTGGACTTGGTTTTGTTTTTGTTTGTTGTTGTTGTTTTATTTTGGGGAGGGTTTTTTTTTTCATTGCCAGGGAGAGTCATAAGGGTGGGGCACAGACCTGGGAGGACTCAGAAGTTAGTATGATCAACGTACATTATGTGAAATTCCCAAATAATCAATGAAAATATTGTGTTGGAAGAAAAGGATATGTTATTCCTTGACTACTGAAAATAAAATAGATGAATTAGTCAATAAACATAATACCAAACTTAGGAGATAGTCCATATTCAGATAGTCAACTAATTTTTAACAAAGCCTTCAAAAACACATTGTGGAGAAAAAAATAATCTGTTCAGTAAGTATTACTTGCAAAGTTGAATGTTCATATATGCGCAGAATGAAATTAGATCCCTTACCCCCACCCCCGACACCACTATCCACAAAAATCTATTCTTAGTACATCAAAGTCCCAAATGTGCAACCTGAAACTATAAATTTATTTTAGGAATACGTAGAAGAAACTTTTTAAGACATTGACGGCCATTGACTTTTCAGATAAGATCCATAACTATAAGCACTAAATGTAAAACTAGCCAATCAAGTAGCTCCCATGCAGCAAAGAAAACAATCAAAAGTGTTAAAATGGAAGAAATACCAAAATGGAAGAGAAAGATCTATAAACTATTCACCTACCAATTAATTGTTATGCAGAATGCATAAAGAACCCGTGCCACTCAACACCAGAAAAACAAGCACAATTTTCAAGCAGCTAAAGAGCCATGGATTTCACCAGATATACAGTAATCAATAAGTATGCTAAAGATGCACAACTTTACCAATCATCATGAAAACATAAGTCAAAACCATAGTGAGATAACCTCTCATACCAGAATTATTTTTTGACAAAAAAATTAAATAAATAAATGTAAAGAATGCTAAAAGGGTGGAGACTTAGGCCATATTGGTGGGAACAGAAAGACAACTCAGCCTTGATGTAAATGATACAGAAGTTTCTCAAAAAACCTTAACAGCGTTCTGGTCAACCATTGCCTGTGTCTCTTATAATCTTTCAACCTAATTTTCTGCAATGATCCATAAACCTTGGGATCAGTAGACATGGTATAGATGTTGCATTGAAGGCTGAGAATTCCAAGGTCTCTTTTTCTGCCTTGGCCAATTGTGGGTCTTTATGTTAATCACCATCTCCTGCCAGTCAAAGCTTCTCTGCTGAGAGGTAGGAAATGTGTTAACCTATGGGTATAATGATGTCATTAGGAGCTGGTTTAATACTATGTCTCTTTTGTACAATAATAGCAGCCTCTCCCCTAGGACCTAGGACCTGTCTATCCAGAGGTTCTTAACTCAAGAATAATGGTTTCATCTTGTAGAGTGGTACTTAAATCTAATCAGAAAGTGGTTGGTCATTTCCATGACAGTGCAACTGTACATACAAACTCACAACAATTGTGACAGCAAACATAAAACCTATGAAAGCTCAAGTTAGAGCAAATCCTAGCATGGAGAGGGAAGTTGGACATGGATTCCCACCCCTAGCTGGGGAGCTATTGTCAAGTGATAACTGCTGGGAAAGGAAGAATCAATATCTTTAAGAGGGTAGCATCTAGTAAATTAACCACATTCCTGAGGAAGACCACACACCCAACAATATATTGACTTGATGGTTGGGAACAAAAGGAAAAGGGCCTAAAGTCAGGTGAGTAGGAAATGGGGTATATCTTGAAGCACTTGTGCTGTGGAATGTCTTTCTGTATGCTGTGAATATGTGTTGCTCTGATTGGTTGATTAATAAAGTGCTGATTGGCCAGTAGCCAGACAGGAAGTATAGGTGGGGCAAGCAGACAAGGAGAATTCTGGGAAGAGGTAGACTGAATCAGGTGGCCAGCCAGACACAGAGGAAGCAAGATGACAAGGCAGAACTGAGAAAAGGTACCAGGCCATGTGGCTAAACATAGATAAGAATAATGGATTAATTTAAGTGTAAGAGCTAGTCAGTAATAACCCTGAGCTAATGGCCAAGCAGTTATAATTAACATAAGCCTCTGAATGATTATTTTATAAGCAGGCTGTGGGACTGCTGTGGCTAGGCAGGACATAGAAAAACTCCCACCTACAGACTTGAGGGGCAGATGATCAAAATACATTCTGGAGGCCCCCAGGCAGTGGGACCGGGACCTGTCCTCAGTGCATGAGCTGGCTTTTTGGAGCCTGGGGCGTATGCTGGGACACTTTGCTCAGCTTGGGTGAAGGGAGGAGGGGACTGGATCTGCCTCGACTGAATCTACCAGGCTGAGCTGAATCCCCAGGGGAGTCCTTGCCCTGGAGGAGATGGGAATGGGGGGTGGAATGGGGGGAGGGGGGGCAGGAGGAGGGAGGACAGGGGAATCCGTGGCTGATATGTAAAATTAAATTAATTATAAAATTTTTAAAAAAGAATTTTCTGAAAGAATGAAAACAATAAATAAATAAATAAATAAATAAATAAATAAATAAATAAATAAATAAATAAATAAATAAATCAAAAGAAAAAATAGCCAGGTGGTGGTGGCGCACACCTTTAATCCCAGCACTCTGGAAGCAGAGTCAGGTGGATCTCTGTGAGTTCGAGGCCAGCCTGGGCTACAGAGTGAGTTCCAGGAAAGGTGCAAAGCTACACAGAGAAACCCTGTCTTGAAAAAAAAAAAAAAAAAACTCAAAAAAAGCCTTGATGATAATATATTGTATGAAAAAGAAGTTATTTCAAAGAAAGTATTTTAAAAGGAAAAACATTCTCAAATAACCCTCATAACCTTCAAAAAAGAACTTCCATAAGGTCCAGCAGTGCTATTGCTGCACATAAGTGTGGCAGCAGCAACAGGACACTAATGCTGGGCAGTTACATAGTCCTACATTTGCTGTCAACTAGACAGTGCCATTTTTATTCAAAAATAAAGGATGATCAATGTCTGCCCTGTCCACTGTAAAGGGTACAGCCTAATCCCTCATGAGCATAAAGCAGCAGAATGCATGGGCAGTAGGTTCACCTGTGGTGATCTGCTCACACAGGACTTTTAAGGCAAAGTTAATTACGTTGTTAATGCTTTCTTACTACCTGTGAATTTTCCTGTCTTGTTGTTCAAAAGACAGTTATTAAAGAATAATTTAGGTTTCCAATTCAGAAATGACAATTGCCTTATCTCCTTTGTTGAATCCCAATCAGCAAGGAAATGTATAATTAAAAATAACCCTAAACTTTGAAAGACAGGAAGCCATCAGTTCCATATAAATATGCAAATTTCCTTTATTAATCTTTTAAATGAACCTGCTTTCTTCATTGTGCAAGGATCATAAGTATCCTATTGCACTAATAACCCTTCAGTATTATTAACTATGTTTTTCAGGTCTAAAATAAATACCTGGTTACTGGTTAAAAAAAAAACCTCCCCAGAGGAATAGCTGCTAAATGGCGTTTGTTTCTATAAACACAAAATATGTCATTAATCCATTTTTATCCCAGAGAGGATAGTTGTTTTCATGCATTATGGTGATTTTATTGTATCTTATTAAGGAATAATGGCGAACTAAAGCAACTGCATTAACACACTCTTGTAATAAAAGCTAACGCTTTCGCTTTCTAATTAGTTACACTCATTTCATGAGAGAATGAAGCCAGATATGTTCATCTATGTGTGAGTCTTTAAAAAGGACTTCCTTTGTAACACAGATATGAAATTCTCCAGTTTTTAGCACAGGGATGCTAAGCTATAGTACAGGTACAGAATCAAGGCCAAATCTCGCCTGAAAAGATCTAGACATGCCTCAAGACCTCAAGAGACTTCCCAACTACTCAAAAAAAAAAAAAAGCTTCCTAACAAAAAATTCTATATTGATCTAATTGTCCCCTTGTGTAATTAGTTAGTTAGCTAGGTCATTAGCCACTGTCTTTCTGTAGAACTAACTGTAGGCACAATTAGTTACACTTAAGCTAGTTACCTGTGGCTCTGAATTCAAGTGTGAATGGGCATTGAAAAAAAAAATTGCTCTTACTAATTTCCATCTCACTTCAAATCTAGCTATGTATATGCTTTAAGTTATTTTTAAATAAATATACAGGGTAGGCAAGGGCATGTCAATCAGTTGCTTTTTCTCCCTTCCCCACACCTGCTACTTTCCATAATCCTCAGCATTCTTTATAAATGAGTGATGAGATCAATTCTGCGTGCTGAGAGCCTTTTTGTGAACAAATGTAGGGGAGATATTTATATGGAAACAGTTACTCTGAGCAGCATGTCACAGTTTCCTTTTTTTTATAAACTATCATGAGACTATATCGTTAATTTTAATAAGATTGACTCCTGTTGGATTACCTTAGCAACAAAAGCATGGTACTGATTTAATGTGAGTTTTTGTGTTATTATCCTTACAAGCATGGAAATTAATTGCCAATAACCCGTGGCCTATCAGAGACCAAGCAGGATTCATTTTAGTATCTGTATAAACTTAATGGCAATGGCTTTAATATTACAGGTCCACTCAATCTACATATTGTGAACTAGAAACCCAGGTGCTAGATTCATAATTACATGGTAAAAAATGTGTAAAGATGTGTATTTAAATAAGTGAAAGATTGCATTAGTAATAACACCTCGACAGACTTAACTAATAAATTATTGCAGTCTATTCTAGACTACATAGTGAGTAGTATTGTTATATGTGCGTACATTGTTATACAACTGTAACAAGGAACTTAACTTGAGAAGGGCCTTGAAGAGTAGTGATTGGATCAAGGAAATTCATCAAACTAAAGACCAGGGAAGTTTCTGTCAACAAAGGTTATCTTCCCTTGGGATTTCAGACAAAGGGTTCATATAAGGAGTTGTAAGAAGGCAGATCATATAACCAGGTACCAGTACAGTTACTAATGTAGAGTGGTCTGCTCCTAATGCATCGACTGCTCACCTTTATCTATATGTCATAAGATATCCTGCATTTTGTAAATCTGATTTACATAATTACTGATTAAAACATCTCATGGCTTATCATCAGTTCTTCCCAGGAATAGTTAGTTTTAGTTAATTATCAGGATGCAAAAAGATTATTTTTCACTGGGAAACAGGGAAGGGTAGTGAAAAGCTATTCTACTTTGGAGGATGAGAAGAAAAGGAAAAGGCAACTTGAAAAAGAGGAAAACTTTACAATAGAGGACAAGGGAAAGTTACTGGAAAAACAGCTTCTGTGGAATCCAATAACAAAACCAACCTTTCAAACATTAACCTCTCTACTGAGAGTGACTCTGAGCAACTCAGAGTCACTGTTTCCATGCACACATCTCTCCCACATTTGTTGAATAGTCAAAGATGTCACCCTAGTGAAAGCCAGTGTAAAGCATCATCATACTCATGTGTGTGGCCTCTGAATTAATGACTCTCAAATCAACTAAAACCAAGGTGAAGACAAGGGTTTACCTATGTCTTTTCTCGCTAAAACAACTCTCATTTCTCTATAGGGAGAGGTCAGGACTTGGAAAAAATAAATATTGGTTTTTGAAACTTGTTTATAATCCAACTTAAAATCTAAGTTCTGTTAGAACATTGAGGTTACACTATGTTTCTTTCTGATATCCACAATTAGCTTATGCCTTCTATGCAGTAACTCTTTACTGAATCATTATAGCTGTACAATATCCAGGAAAGGCTCATCTGAAGATCTTTAAGACTATCAGGAAAAAAAAAACTTTGAACAAAGCTATGATTGGATTTACTATCTTAGGGGAGAGTACAATCTTGATAGGTTCATTGTCATGTTCAGAAGGAGAACATTTCTACAGGAACATATTTATAGACTTTATACCTCTATATGAGTGATTTTAAGGTGAGTTTCAGAAAACAAGGAACTATCTAAGATGGGGTATAGTTTAATAAGAAAACTAGCTTTGGTATAATGTTAGAATAATCTAGAAAAATGTTGTTAAGGAAATAGTAACATAGGAGTTCTCTAGAAAAACAGCACTGAGAGACGGCAGATATAAGTGATGGTATGTATAAGTGAAGAGTTGGGTAGTATATGTGTTGGGTAGTATATATTGAATGAGATTAAAATTTTAATTTGTAGACTGGATAAAGTATACTGCCTTAGTTACATTTTTATTGCTGTCATAAGACTCTTTGATCAAGGCAAGTTATAGGAGAAAGAGATTTGGGGGGCTTACAGTTTCAGGATTGGTCCATGGCCATCATGACAGAGTGCATGGCAGTAGGCAGGCAGTCATGGTGCAGAAGCAGCAGCTGCAAGCTTACATTCTTATCCACAAGTAGGAGGCAGAGAGAGCTAACTGGAAATAGTTGAATGTTTTGAAACCACAAAGCTCACCCCCACCCAGTGATACACCTCCTTCAACAAGGCCATGCCTCCTAATCCTTCCCAAATAGTTCCACCAACCAGGGACCAATTATTCAAATACATAAGTGTGTGGGCATCATTCTCCTTCAAGCCAAAACAAGTACCTTCACAAATAGGCTTCCCTAAATTCACAGATAACATAGATATTATAGCCCACAAAAGCTCCTCCTGAAGAGAGAATTCCTGCATCCTTCTGTCCCCTCGAGATATCTGCCATTTTTCTATCTTCCGAATCTATTAAGATGGTATTATTTCTGGACTGACATCTGTTGGCCTTGGAAGCTAAAATGTACCATTGGCTCACCTGGTTCTTTGATCTGGTACTCGTTCAACATTTATCATTCACTTTCCTCTGTTAATTATTGGTCGGGTATCTTGGGTCTTCATTTGAAACTGAATCTAATTTGTATTCATACTTAGTATGTATATTATTTGCTATCAACTCTTTTGTTAAGCTTTTCTCATTGAGAAAAATATCATGCCAACTAATAATTATAGAGGATTTAGTACAGTAGAAGAAACATATTCAACATTTAGCAGAAAGATGTCTAAAAAGTATATATACAAAGTATTTTCATGTTCTGAACTTTGAACTATTTCAAAAGACATTTAATGAACTGCTAAGAGTTGTATGTTGGTCTCCCAAATGCATATTTGTTGATGGACCATCCTTAACTTAGTCTAATATTTAAAAAGCAGCAGAATAATCACCGACATTTCATATACGGTGAATATTCAGTTAACCCAGACCTTCACCAGGCTGGTAAGACAGAAAACTGCTCCTTCCTGCCCATTTCAATCCTGGGTTCACTTAATTTCTCTAAAACTATGCCTTTATAAAGGTAGATTCTGCATACTATAGATTGACTTGGCAAGTTTTAGTCTGATCAGTGTTATTTTCTATATTAGGTTTCTAGTAGATACAAAATACAGCTCTGAGTATAATGATTAATTAGTTCACAGATTTGCCATCTGCTTCATTCAAGCCCTGCAAGGTGAGAAATGACAAATTTGGACTAAATAAATTGAATATTAATGAGGCTGAGCTTCTGCTACCTTTTGAAACAAAAAAAGAGGCTGAGGATTCTATGTCAGTGATATGTTGGTGTTTGTCTAACAAATAATAGCACCCCCATCTTCATTAAGGCATGACTAACCATTTTTAAATTATACAGATTTAAAATATATAACAATATTTCATCTATTCATTGTGAAATGATCAGCATATCCAAATGATTAGAATATGCCTCACCTCTTGTAGTCATCATTTGTGTATGTGGAGAGAACACTTAAGATCTTAAGCAGACTTCAAGTAATGCTGCAATGATTATAATCACCATACTATACATTGTCTTTAAATCCTAGTCATCTAAGATAATGAAAACTCTCTACCTCTTCTCCAATATCCTCCCAATTTCTACTCCATTTCCTGGCAGTTATCCCACTCTGCTTCTATGAGCACATTTTAGACTACACTGAAATCACATGCATGGCATTACTTTTTCTCCATTTGACTAATTTCACTTAGCATATCTTCCAGGTTCACCTAAGTTGTTATAAATGAAAATATTCAGTCCAATATTAAGGCTTAAAAATATTCTGTTTTATATGTACCACACTGTTTCTTTTTAATTAAAGCATCAAATAATAGTTACAGGAATTCTGTCTCTTGAGCTATGGTCACTAATGATAGTGCAGATAGCTTTCCACAACACTGATTTTATTTCTTTGGAAAATGCTCACAAGAATGAGATGATGAGAACCTATTAGAGCTCTGGTTTATATTTTTGAAGAAACATACTGTTTTCTAAACTGGCTATGTAAATTTACATTTGCATCAAGGGTGGACTGGAGTCTTCTTTCCAAATATACATCTATTGTCAATTTAAACACAGCCATTCTAACCAATGTCTTTTGAAGAATAC